GAGAGAGAGAGAGAGAGAGAGAGAGAGAGAGAGAGAGAGAGAGAGAGAGAGAGAGTCCTTTTCTAACAATGCAGCAGACTAGTCACCTGCTTCCAAGTCTACTGCATGACTGAAGAACATCAAAAGGCAGAGAGAGTGGATTGATATTCTAAAACATTTACTGCAATGGCTCAGGTCAAAAATGCCATAGTCTGGCAAAGCAACAGTAGTTCTCCTTCCCTCTTGCATGCAGATTTCTTCTTCCTTTCTTGCTTTTTGTTAACTGTACAGTTTTGTTGGGATGTCCAAATTGGCAAAGTGGTGCCTTCCTCTTTTTCTTTATAATTTACAAAGACATTAACAAAGTTTGCCAAACTATATGTAAAAAAAAAAGCTCTGTAATGATTCAACATTATGTTCAAATAGAGGCCATGAATGATCCCTACTAGTTTTCTCCCATACAGGGAAGGCTCTTTTATCTTTTTAAAGCTTGTATGAATCAAGGGGAGGAGGTCTCTCCCTGGAAAAACCTACAGCTCCAAAGAAAGGAAATACCTGTTTCAATAATGTGACAAGCAACAAGTGACACTTCAGACTTGAAAGCGGCATTGGTGAACTCATTGCTTCCTTTTATACAAACCATAGATCACTCTGGGCATTACAGTAGTGTCCTGGATATATAGATGAAAAAAATCTTCAGGGTAAGATACCCATTCTTCAGGTTGACTGGGTAGAATGTGCAGTTAATAGCTGCATTTGGTCTCCATTTGCAGCCCCTAAAACTGCACTTCCAAAGAAAATGGCTGCTTTTTTTCTATGGATTTTCTGTTTTGATATTGTTGTTTTTCAGAATTAAGGATAAGAACGGCAGCAATATGCCCTCTAAAAATCTCCTTTGCATCCTAACCCTTGTAACTCTGAAAGAACAAGCCCCCAAATTTTACTTCCAGTGATGTCTCTATGTCAGGGGTGTCAAATGGGCGGCCCGCAGGCCAAATGTGTCATGCACAGGTCATGCCCACCCCGGCTCCACAAAGGCAAAAAATGTCGCAATATATCACAATACATCATGTGATGAGATCGAGTTTGACACCCATGCTCTATGTCATTCAATAGCCTTCTGGAAAGGCTATCCCTCTTTTAATGGATTACATACAGATAGAGAATGTCTACAGAAGGCTTACTAGATTACATTATACTAGGCAGTGAAAATACACATTTAATGATATTTGTGTTTCTTTTAATTTGCTTTTAAAACTTGAGCTACATCTCAGGTAAGGTCATCTTTATCCAGATGCTTCACTGCAGAATATTTTTCAATTTTTTGCAACAACTGCCAACATCATCAATCTGACATTGCACTTTATAATGCTCCATCTGAAAAGCACAGTGTCTCCACTATAAAGCAATATGTTACCAAGAACATGAAAAAACTATATTTGTGTAAATTAAAGGGAAAAAGCATAGCATTGCAACAAATATATGTTGTCAAGTTTAACAATTGATGATACATAAAATACTATATTATGTACACAAGATGACCCATTAATTAAAAAAAAATCATATGCTAATATTCATTAATGCCATTTTACAGTCATTCAGTTTAAGGAATTAACAAAGTAATTCTTCTAACCAGTAGAAACTTTCCCATCTTGGAGATCAATCACCTGTGGCCAAATTCTTTGTATTCTCTTTTTGTTGTTATTAGTGGAACAGGGGTAGGGGTAGAGAGAAAGCATGGGAGACATCAGCCGGCTCCAGGTTAACAACAGAACAGGTGGCCAGTTTGTTTGCATGTGGCTCAAAATTAAAAACCACCATTTGCTTCCTCCACCAAACAATTCTGAGGATGTTAGGATATTTCTTCTGTAAAAGTTGAGGGTTTATACAATTATATAAATTTAATAAATAAATAAATTGTTGCCATAACTGGAACTACAACTTTATAATGCAACATTTTTAGAAGTGGGTTTTAATTAAAATTCAGATCATTTTAAGTAACATGAGCCTACTTCTGTACATATTTGTTCCTTTCTTGTATATTGCAAGTAGGAGCAAAAGAAACATTTGCAACATTTCCGCTCACCATGACTTATCACTTGCCCCGTGGCCTCTATGGTGACATTTTGAAGGTAGTTATGACAGCGTTCCTTGTGTTCCTCCAAAGAACTGCGCTGTTTGTAGCTTCGTCCACAGTAGTTACATTTATGAGGTTTACCTACTGTGGGGAAAAAAAGTACTTTATTATGCTAAATCAGTGTTGCTGACACCATTACCAATGGTCACTTGATATTATAACTAAAAACAAATATAGAAACCTATTCACTCTTGTAATATTTATCCATTTACCTTTTCTCTATTTCACTGCAATACCTCTATGAAACAGATTCATAAAGATCCTGAAAATACTGTCTTCAAATTATTTCTAAAATGGATTGCATTCATGCAGGTAGACCCAGTGTTGTCAAATCATGCAGTTTAAACATTTTTTGTATCAAAATAGAGAAGAGTTTGAGATTTCAACATACGGTAGGCCAGGGGTCCCCAACCTCTGGGTCATGGCCCACTACCGGGCCATGGCCTATTCACAACTGGGCCACATGAGTGGGTGCCAGTGCTTGCAGCCCCACTCACGCACCCGCTGCTCACACAAATGAAGCTGTGTACCTGCCCCTTGCACAAAACCATTCCTTCTTCCCCCCTTCCCCCTTGCCAGGCCACCAACCCGGAAATGTTGGGGAACGCTGCTGTAGGCCAGAAAGATCTCCTGGGTGGGTAATATTTTCTAAATGTAAATGAATGGTCCAATCAAAAAACACATTTCTAATGCTTTTGCCAAACAAAGTAGAAACAGAATGTCATTAAATGCAAGGCAATGGTGTTATCCTAGTATTCTTATGGCTTCAGATATAAACTGTTGATGTGCTTGCTGGTAGATGGGCATAAGCTTTATAATTAAATGTATAGCAAAGCAGTATTATTTGGCTAGTGTGATCTATCTAGGATAGTCAGTTGGGCTCACTATCAGCTTGCCCTAAGTACCTGCTATCTAGGGATATTCAGCTCTTTGCATTCTAAGTACAAACAACAAAGAGAAAGGCATGACTTTTAAAACTGATTGGAACATAGCTAATGCTTTGGAGGAATAAAATCCACCATTGCCAACCCTTTCAAAACTCTACCCAGAATTATCCTAGTCCAAGCCTGCCATCAGCTTCCTGATGTTCAGTTGGCCAAGCACATTCCTGCAATCCCTGTCAAAGAAAGAGTACTCTGCCACACTTGAGTAGGTGAGGAATTTAAAAATCCTCTTCTTTGAAACCATTTTTGCAAAATCAGCAAAATCAAAATTTCTCTACCTAAGTCACCCAAGGTTGCATATTAGGGCAAGACAACCTAGAATAATGTTTGCATGCTTTTTGCTAATTTTCAGGGGAGAAGAAATATATTATATTTGAAGCAGAAAAGTGCATAGCCATTAGGTCCATAAAGCTAAAGTTTTTAAAAACAAGATGTGAATCTGGAATTCAACAGGTATATTCTAAAAAATAAAGAATTTCAGAAAGTCCATGCAAATTCATGAGTGGTACTAAAGAGATAAGTGACAAAAGAAGTACCATAGATGGAACTTCATGCATCTTTTGATGTGACTTTTTCACTTTGGAAATCAGAATGTAACAAAATCATAAAAGGGCCATTTACACTATTGAGTGCCACCTTTTGCTGAGTGCAGGAATTCAAATCAAAGTTTTTGAGACCCTTGGTTGCTTACTCTACATTTAACAAAGACTGGACTCAATCTAAACAACTTATTGTTTTTTCTTCATTTATCAATGTGAAATAGAGCAATTCCTGTTTCATATTCTTTTAGAGAGTTTTCTTCAAATAGTTTAAAAAATGGAAATGCATCTATTTGTTGCTTTCTAATAGAATTGACTGTAAAATCAAAGAACTGAGGGAATTCAGATATTAAAGGTATACAAATGAAAACAGTATGCAAGTGTGATAAAACAAGTTAAAGAATCAAAGAAAATTTAAGATAAGAACTTTAAAAGCAAACATTCGTAAATCTTATAATTTCCGATTGTAATAAAATGGCCACTTGATAGGTTCACTGTATTCCCCAGCTAGTTACATCATGGGAGATCTATGAAATCATTCATAGGACACAGAATAATAGGGTTAGAAATCTTCTAGTCTAATCCCCTGCTCAAGCAGGAAGCAAATAGCTGTCCAGTCTCTTCTTGAAAACCTCCAGTGATGGAGTACATATAACTTTGGTAGGTAAACCATTCCAATGATCAACTGTTCTCACTGTCAGGAAATTTCTCCTCCGTTCTAGGTTGGATCTCTCTTTAATAATGTTCCACCTGTTACTTCTTGTCCAGACCTCGGATGCTTTGAAGAATAGGTCGACCCCCTCTTCTCTGTGACAGACCCTCAAGTATTGGAAGACAGCTATTATGTCACCCCTAATCCTTTCTTTGTTAGATTAGACATATCTAATTCCCTCAACCATTCATTGTATGGTTTAACCTCCAAACCTCTTAACACTTTTGTTGCTCTTCTCTTCACTCTTTCTAGGATCCCAATGTCTTTCTTGTATTGAGGTAACTAGTATCCAAGAAGTACATTAGAAAGAGATCGATCTATTGGGAACTCAGAAAAAATGCAGTAATTATCAGATATCAAAATGGATTTGTTAACAAACCTTGCCAAAGAAATTGTATTTTCCCCCCATTAGGTAACTTCTTTTAATATATGGTAGGAATTGAGGACACATCAAATGATAAGTATAGACAGTCCTCAACCTATGCACAATTGGGGCTGGAATTTTGATCGTTAAGTTGGTAAAGTCATAAAGGGAATCATCATGTGACTAGACCTGATTTTATGACCATTTTACTGTAGGTTAAGTGAATCACACAATCATTAAATAAATGGTGGTTAAGCGAATTTGCTTCCCCTTTGCTTTTTGGAAGCTAGCTGGGAAAGCTGCAAATTGCAATCACATGACCGCAAGATGCACAACCATCATAAATGCAAACGGGTTGCCAAATATCCAAATTGCAATCATGTGACAGCAGGTGAGCATCTGTGCAATGGTTGTAAATTTGAAGATGGGTTCTAAGACACCTTTTCTCAGGCTGTCATAACTTCAAACAATTGTTAAATGAATGGTTGTAAATTAAGGACTATCTGTACATAAAAATTAGGAAGCTTTGGAATTCCAAATCAAACAAAATTCAAGACAATCTTAATAGGTTCGAAAAAATGAACAGTAAGAAACTTAACAGTCAAATTAAATGTTCTTTACCTAGGAAACTAAAACCCAAATATTTGTGAAAAATATCTTGTAATAGTAGTTGATCATAAATTGAATGAGTCAGCAGTAGATGTGACTGCAAAAAAAGGCAAATGCAATTTTAGGCTATATCAACAGAAATATAATTTTAAAACCATAGAGCATAAAAACATAAAATTCTACTTATTCTTCTTTGGCTAAAATCTATCTCAAATACTGTATTCAGTTCTCAATAACTTACTTTAAGAAGGTTTCTCACAAACTAGAAGTGATTCAAAGGAGGACAGTGAGAATGATAAAGGGATTAAGTCAAAGAAGAGAGCTGGAAAGAGCTGGGAATCTTCACCCTTTAGAAAAGACAACTGAGAGACTATGACAGAAAGTACTCTTCAAATATTGGGAAGGGTGTCACTTATAATTTCAAAATCAGTTCCTTCCACTCCAGGATGGGGACTTTTCTCTTCCTTCTCCTTGTTGATGCCTGATCTTTTATTTGATATTTATTTCTTCACTGAGATCAGCTGAGATGGATCAGAGGAATGATGGAACAACATTGCATGTCAGGACAAGATGAGCCTCCCAAAACCTGGAGCTGGTGTAGAACAAGGTTTTCAAAATCCATATATAGCCATACTTCCATACATCTTTATTTACTGAAGAGAAAAAAATGAATAGGCCTGTCTATATATACAGGTGATTTTGATTACATCATCATTTTCCTTGTGTTAAAGTAAGTTCTTTGCTTAACATCAAGGAATAGATGGGCAATTTGCCAAGGGCTCAAGGGCCACAATTTGAATATAAATCTTAATTTGTTTGAATCATCCCTGCCAAGATGTTTGTTTGAACTTGTATTTTCCTTGAAAGTATTAAACTACCTTCATCTTTCTAGCTATATGCAATAAGACTACATTATAGGTGACAAATGAAGTTGTAAAGTAAGACCATTAATAACCTAGGCTAAGAAAGCTATTGCTATCATAGGACATGGGCCCATAACTTTTAACTGCTGTATAAAAAGCAATGGAAGCACCTGGACAAAGATTGAAATAAGCCTTCAGGGGTGCTTTGTTTTTTCTATTTAAATGAGAAATAGAATGGAGAATTTAAGAGTCACCTTCCTACAAGTCTTCAAGCAGAAGAATGTATTTCAGGAAACAGGACATGTGCCCATTGCAAGATACGACCAATTATGCAATACAGATATATAGGTAAATAGCTTACTTATATACAAACATTCAACATACAATTTAATGTAGGCATAGAGACAGGACAGGCATACCAAACAAAAACTAACAAACAAAATAAAGCTGTATGAAGTGTTGTTATGAGTATTTGTGATACCCCTAGAATTTGTCAAAAGAAATCGATTGACATTTGAAGATCTCTTTTCTTTCTTTTTTTAATGTATGTCAGCATTTTGAAAAATAAGACTGAAATCTAGTTAATCTGTACTTTTCTCACTGCATCCATCCAATCACCTATAAAAAATCTTGATCACTGAGACTGTATTATTTAGGAAAAATAAATCTAATGGATTACAACATCATCAATATAAGCAGATACTTATGGAGTAAGTATTTATTCCATACTGGTAACATCTCTCTTTTTAAAAAAAAAATTACAACCATATCATAGCAGATATATTTAGCAATGCCTATCAGTTAACCTTGCAGAAGATCTTCAATGTAATTAGGATGAACTTCGATGGTTTTCTTCTTCACAAGCAACTGCATACAGTACAGAATACGTACAAACTAACTTCTGTCATGCAAATTCCCACAGAGAAACTCAATTCAGTGTTCCTTCAATCAGGGGAAATGAGGAATTTGGCAAAAGGCCATTTCTATTATGGATCCCAGAACACTATGACATGTTCTCCTGAAGTTGGCTTATTGGATATAGCATTGATATTT